GACCCCCCCCCCCCTACCGTAACTAAGCTGTTGTCAAAGGAGCTGAAAAAGTATTGGAAAGAGCTGAAGGGATGAGGTGAAGATGTGTCTGTACAGCATTAGGTCACCATGAAGGGACTCCATGCTTCTGTGGTTGGAGTGTCAGTGTCTAGTTGTCTGACTATTGAGACTTACAAGGACTTTGGGCTGGTTTTCTTTTCTGATGTTAATGTAACATTGCTAACAAACTGCTCCTTTGCCTAACTCCTTTTTTGACAGTGTCCTTTGGGTTGGTTGGAACAGATATGGCACACATAGGCCATACCTGCTTGAATGCTTGGGCAATAGGGAGTGGCACTGTTAGGAGCTGTAGCCTTGTTGGAGGAAGTGTGTCACTATGGAGGTGGGCTTTGAGGTCTCACATGCTCGAACCATACCCAGTGTGACAGTTGACTTGCTGTTGCCTGTGGATCAAGATGTAGAACTCTAAGCCCCTCCAGCACCATGTCTGCCTGCATGCCGCCATGCTTCTCGCCATGACAGTAATGGACTTAAATCGCTGAACTATGAGCCAGCCCCAGTTAAATGTTTTCCTTTATAAGAGTTGCTGTAGTCATGGCAACTTAGAAACCCTAACTGAGACACCCTTAAAACCAATTTAAAAAAAAAAAAAACCCTAATTTGTACAAGTGTTATTTCTGAATTTAAAAGCTGATATTAGTGTATTTTAGATGGATTTAAGGTAGCTAGAAAATCTTCCTGGGTTTCTTCTCATTCATGGTACCACCAGGGAGGGGATGCTAAAACAGCAGCTTTAATGTAGATGAAATGATAGTGGCCATGCATCAATTCTGTTTAGACATCTTTATTGTAAGAATTTTGTCTTCTTCCCTGATACCTACCCTCTTTCCTTCTCTTTATCACACTTGGCATCAGCCTGCCACTGACAAGCTTGAAAAGGTATGTTTTGAAGTATACATGGTATGTTTTGAAGTATAAAACAGTACTTTTTAAAATTGAACTTAAAAAATAAAAATGAATTTATTACTCTGAATTTGTAAAACTCCCAAGCAAAAAAGTAAAATTATGCACAACTGGTACTACCAATTGTTTCTCATTAACAAATCAAATACCTTTGGTAATTCAGTCACTGGTTATATTTATAATAAAATGCAATAGACACGAAACCATTCTTTTGTAAAATTAGGAATGCTAATGAAAACTACATATTTAAATTAAATGCTAAACATGAATTTGAACTGTGCTTTTAAAAATACCTATCATTTAAATCAGCTCATTAGAAACTAACTTGTTTCTGATATAAATGTGATGTCCAAGAAGATCCAAATCAGAATGTGAAATTTATTTAAAGCACACTCGGGTAAGGAGCCTGTCTTAGTATACATGATGCCCTGGGCTCAGCCCCCACTTCTCCAAGAGGGTGGCAGGAAGTGAAAATCGTTAATGGTTAAGAAGTGGCTTAGGAGTGTTCAGATCCTGACCACCCCCCAAGCTTTGACTGGAACTCTTGTCCAATGTCTATAACATAGGCAAGGATACTTCACTTGATCATGTTTTGTTGTTTGTAGGACAGAATGCCTAGCATAATTTTGAGGGGAGGAAGGATCCCTTGCCTTGTGGCTGCAGAGACTTCATGCCACAGCTTCTTGAATCTTTTGATGGTGGGTCTGAGGTTAGGCAGGAACCTCTTGGTGGAAGGATGTAGAGAAAGATGCTATTCATGGTTGACGGTGTATAGGAAGTAGAGTAAAGTGATACAAGAAGCAGTTGAGGCAAAATCTAGTTCCCCAAAGAAGCATCGCAGTGATCCCTTCCTGAAGCTAGCTGGCCCCACCACCTGCACCACAAGCTAGGAGCCAGGCCTCTAACACATGCACTCTGATGGGCATCTCAGTTGCAAACCATAACACCTAAACATGGCTAACACATGTCTAGAAATATCAGAGCAGGCCTTGCCTTCCAGCTTCACATACCCTTTCCTGACTCTAGCTCAATCATGACAAACAGTCATGATTGTCTTTGAACATATGCATGGATTGTTTCCATAAACTGTTGATGTTTTTTATTATAGTGACTCTGGGATTTTTAGTTTTTCTTAGCGCTGAGGTTTTCCGTAGGCTATGTGGCTTTAAGATAACTTAGATGTCTTATTTTTAACAAAATTTTTGTGTTTATTTGTGTGCGTGTATACAGGTTTGTACCCATACATGGTGTTCTTGTATCACCAAGGACACCAGGAGAGAAATGGACCCTCAGAGCTGCAGTTTGAGTCAGTTGTGGACCACCTAATGTGTCCTGGGAAGGAAACTCTTGAAGAGCAGTGTGTGCACTCTTAGTTCTCAATGCTGAGCCAGCTTTCCAGCCTAGCTCTGAATTCTGTTTCTCTAGTGGATTCTCTTGGCATGTTAGTCATGGAGGAAGGCAATAGGTAACTCACCTGTTATGGGTTTGCAAGTTTACAAGAGTCTCCTCTCCTCGAGTCCACATGGTATCATGAAGTAATAACTTAAGAGTTTTGTGGGCCTCTTCTCTCCAGAGAGATTCATAGCAAGTAGCTGTGACATAGCCTCTTAGCAAACAGACAATTCTAGACTGGAGGCCAGAGTTATCGAAGCCTCTCATCATAACTGGGGGTGGGGGTGGGGTGGTAGTCCTCATCTTCTACCTTGGTTGAGACAAACCCCTTTGTGTTTTACCTCTGAGCCTGACAGGCTAGCTGGCCTGCTTGAGCTGTCTCTGACTTCCAGGTGGGATTCAAACCCTTCTGCAGTACTCACTCTTGCTATGTGTCCAGATTCTACAAGGGTTCTGAGGATTTGAACTCAGGTCCTTATACCTGTGTGGCAAGTGTTTTAGCCACTGAGCCACATCCCAATCCCTGCATAAGTCATATTCATTAAAACCTAAGTTCTGACACACAGGAAAAGGGGGAAAAATGTGTGGGTGTGTTTTCCTCAGCCAAGCCTACCCTTTGTTGGGACCTCTGCAGACCTCACTGATGGGAATAGAAAAGGCTTCTGGGGCCTGTGGGCCCTCATCAGACGAACTGTCCCTCTTCATTCTCTCTGCTTTGTTAGCCTCAAATGATAGCACAGTATACAGTCTGTTCTGAAACTTGTGTTTGGAGGGTTTGTTGTTACTGAGTCTTATGTATTAGGATGCAGAGGCACTCTTTCAGATCCGCCTTCTCTCAGGATGCATCATATCCCGTGGGACTGCAGCATAACTCTTAAAGCAGGTCCCTG